CTGGCTGAGAAAGAGCTGATGCACATAAGGGTGCTACAGCAGACCTTTTGAATGGGCTTCAAATTTAGCTTAATACCTCGTACCCATTAAACTTACTCTTAACTACAAGTAAATTCTTTGCTTAACTAGTCATTCCAAAAAATATCCTTGATATTCTCAGCAGCAGGTAGTTTTGTTGTGCTTTTGAAGGGGAATAAAGAAAAATTAAAAAGCTGAACTTTCAGTTTCAACTTTGCATATATTAAATAATTTGTGATGCTTTTGGTAAGTACAAGCAGCTTATTGCATAGAGCCACAGATTTTTGGTGCACCAGGCACAGTTTCTGTACCAGATTAGGCAGTCCGTGCCTATAATGTTTTACGTTTGCTGTGTTCAATCCGCAGACTCTACAGAGGAAAACAATTTACACAAGGACCTACTGACTTCAATGCTTATTCTGCTCCTGGTCTTCATCATTTTCATTCTGTTGGCTGGCTATTTTTTCAGGTAGGTCTGTGTGGAGCTCTGCATGCAGAACTAGCTCGGTCTTGTTTCGATATGATCTAACAAGGAAATGAAACGCGTACTTATGGTAAGGCAGGAGCCTCCATCGCGGCGTAGAGGAGGGTGCGCGGCGGTGGTGGCTCTTGTGCTGAAGATGAACAGAAAGAGTTCCTCCAGAATTACGTGGTTGGTAAAGACTGCTTTGGGAGAATGCTTGTTTCCTCTCAGTGTAGTTCCTCAGGTAGACCTGGTGTGTGTATTTCAGGTTCAGAAGACATAGGAAAGCTGTTGTGAACTCTGGGGACAAAAAGATGCCAAATGGGATCTTAGAAGAACAAGGTATGGAGAGATTTGCTTTCCTTCTCACTGTGAATTTTGTTTGTGTACGCACACGCTCATTTGCTAATTAAGAATTCAGCTTTTCAGTTGTTGGCTTTTTATTTACAATATAAGTTACAGGATTGCTATTAAAGAGAAAACAGGTTTTTTTTTTTTAAAAAAGGTCTGTATTTAAGTATGTGTCTATATAATCTTAACTTCCAGTTGTTGGTTTTAAAGAATTTTCACTTTTAAGTTAGGATTCAGCAAATGTTTCTTTGTAAATATTTCTCATGCTCTTTATATGTGTTTTATTAGAATGCTAGCTGAAAGCCAGGTTTCTGGCACTGTGATCTTTGTATTTAGAGAAAGAATTGCAATATTTCTTCTTAAAAGGGGAAAGAAAAGGGTCCTTAACTCGTCGTGAAATTATGGGCTGGTTCCTGAGCGTAAAGAGAAACCAGGAAGGGGATGAGACAGGGCAGTATTGTAAGCCAGCGGCACTAAAATGAAACACTCTCAGGAGCTGAAGATGTTTTCCACTGGCTTTTTCAGTGTGCTGAGTTTCTTTCCGTCAGCGGCGAGCCCTTCGAGTGGGTTGCTCTGTGGGGCTCAGCTCAAACCTAGCAAACATGGAACGGGCTGTTCATTTCTGGCTTACAAATTATTTTCGCCATAACAAAGAGAGAAACTTAATGATAAAAAGAATTACATCTTTCTGCCAGTTCCACATCGCTACGTATGAACTGAAGAGCGGGTTAACAAACACGGTGGCAGTCACAGAGAAAGCCAAACCTCTAAATATACCCGGCAGCTTCCTGTTCGGTCGGTGCCCGTGCACAGGAGCCCCGGCGAGTGTGGTTTGGGGATCCCCGTGGTGGCCCGGCACCGGGTAGCACCCTTGGGCGATGAATGGTTAATGCAGCCACCGGTGAGGTTTAGTTTGCAAGTGGAAATCACCCTGTCGTTATCAGAGCGTAGGGAAGTGGTCTGCCTTTCTGTTTGCCTTTGGTCGTAAATAAAACGTGTCTTCACCAAACCGTGGGCTTCATCCTTCCCCTTCTTCCAGCCGTCCTGCCGGGTGGCCTGCGGGGATGCTCATTTCAGTTGCCAGGTGGCCAGTTGTGCTCCTGAGAGGCTGCGAAGGCAGCAGGTGAAGGAGTCCTGGGGCTTTATTTCGCGAAGCGAGACGAGATCTGGGTGGCAAGAAGCACCGCAGCAATCCCCGCGCCAAACGTGCTGCCGCAGAGCGATTGCGTGCCGGGGCTGGGCTGATGCTGGCGTGATCTGGGGCAACGGAGAGCAGCAGCAGCAGCTCATCTTGGGTGCCGAGTTTCTGTTACCTGCCAAGTTAAAGATGAATTAATCTAGCAGCATCTCTTTGGTGATAGATGCTAAAAGCTGTCCCTGCAGTCCCTGCCCTGTGGCAGAGCAGCTCTGGGTTGATATGCTCTTTGTCAGCAGAAGGAACTTTCTCTTTTTCTAAATAAAACTTAGTCACATTTTAATCTGGTGTAAATACAGAAGTCGTTAATTTTACTAATAGTGGTTCTACTTGAATTTATTATGTTCTCAAGGCAACCACTTGGCCTGTGGTTTTGGGTTTTTATTTCATTTTAATCAGCTTTATCACCAACTGAAGCCTCATGCGAGAAGTATGTTTTGGCATCTTCCAGCATAAAAATTAATTTGTAGCTGGAAATGGCTTGTTATCTGTTGCCCTGGACATGCCTTTAACACGTACTTTCCTTGTACTGACAGAACAGCAACGGGTGATGCTGCTCAGTAGGTCTCCCTCGGGCCCAAAGAAGTATTTCCCTATTCCAGTAGAAAATCTTGAAGAGGAAATACGGATGCGATCAGCAGACGAAGGGAAGCTCTTCCGGGAGGAGTTTAATGTAAGTTCTCGGGCGTGGAGTGGACGGCTGCACAGCGAAAACCGGGGGGCAAATCAAAACATCTGCAAGTGTTAATTCTTTTAAAAGTGTCTGGTGCACGAAGCTGGTATCTCAGAGCCTTGGCACTTGTTGTGCGAGCGTGCTCGTAACCCTTTATCTGGACAAAATCTGGAACGTTAACTGCTTTATGATCCGGTGATGCCAAATTGGTTATATATAAACTGTTTGACACTTGCTAGTATTTAAAGGAGGTCTATAGTGTTTTCCTGAAAGCTGGAGGAGAGGAAGACTGAATGTGAATCTCTTCAGCATTGGTTTTCTTGGTGGTGGTGGAGGGTTTTTTGGGGAGTCTGAGTGTTTCACTGCTATGGGAAGTACTTGGGGGAGATGACAGTGTGGCCTTTAATACTGCCGTAGTGAAGTTGGACTTTTTTTTTTGGTAATTTGGCTTTTTGCTGTTTGCCATCCCATTGCTTCCCTATTTGCAGCAACCTGTGCCCTAGCACATATGTTTCTATGAAGTATCTCAGCTTTAAGGGAATTTGTTTAAAATGTTGCCTTGGTCAGAAAGGAGATCTTACTTTCTGCTCATAACCCGAGTTTCAGTCGCATGTGGTCATATAGATCGAAGTTTGTGGCGAGCTGCTGCAAAGCTGGTTTGTACCGAGAAACCCAGCACCATGAGTCTGCTCTCACACGTCTGTGTTCGCGGGTCTTTTCCATACTTTTATTATTTCTTTTCACTTCCCTTAACAGCAGAAGCAGGTTGCACAGAGCAGCAGCTTAAATGTCAAATACAGAGTTGTCAAAGCTGATGCACGTGTTGATGAGCCAGTCTGTTAAAGTTACCTTCTTAATTGGTAGCATATTTATATCTGCAATTTGTTTGATGATATATTTAAAACACATGATTTCTTTGCCTTATCAGAGAGCAAGCATTGTGGAGATATTTATCAAAGTCAACAAAATGAATGTGAAAACTAATTTGACAAGATATGCGCTTGTGATTTTTGACTCTTCTGATTAATTCGTTCTGCAGTTAGGAGCAAAACAAGCCATCTATTTTTATTTTTAAAACCTGCTTTGCTTGGATCATTTTCTGCATCGTGCTGTGAGCATGCGAGTTTCTGTCTGCACACAAGTGCTGAGTCTGAAAACTGGGGTCCGGTGCCCGTAAGGGAGCAGTCTGAGCAATGATGGGGGGTGATGGTACAGAAAGTTTACCTGATGCTTTATGTAGTTTGTTTTTTTTCCCCCCCTGCTGTATCTCCTGTGGCTGCTTGCATGGATACATGAGCTGTTTGCTTGAGCCAGAGAGTGGAAGAAAGGCAGAAAGACAGCTGAAAATCAGAGTGATTGATACTGTAGCATAAACCAGGCAAGCTGACAAACAGGAGTCTGTTATTGCAGCACTGGAAGGAAAGGGCTTGAGCAATCGGGATTCTTCAGCACGAAGACATCTGTGTGGCAACCTCACCCTCAGACCATCCCCCAGCATCACCTCCATCCTCCCACCAGCTGAGGTTACACCTCTGCCTGCCCCTTGAAGCTGTAGCTGCCAAATCCTGCAGTTTTTGGCTGGGTCAAAGCCATCCCCTCTGTGCAAGCTGTAGGGTGGGCAAGGCTGCGGGAGCTGCTGAGCCATGGACCCTGCCTGCAGCCCGGGGCTGGGGATGCTCAGCTGATGGGGAGCTCTGCCTGCTGCGGTATTTCCTTCCCACAGCCTAATGTAACATGTCAGGGCCAAGCATCTCCAGGAACGCACATACAGGGTCTCCATTGTGAATTTGAAATGGGTTTAGGCTTAAAACCAGCGTTTCGGCAGTCCTGTGAGCCAGCGGTGGCCAGCCATGTGCACCAGCCAAAGAAGTAACGTCCCAAGTGATTTTTCTGGTGAAAAGAAAACAAAGAAAATGCCGATAGAAGAAGATACGCGGTGGATAGAAAGGATTTTTGAGGACAGTTCTCTTAGGTTTATGTGCCTAACAGTGTTCTTCAATACTTGTGATTTTATCCTTAAATAGCAGAGGCTCCTTTTACCCTCAGCTGCTTCTTTTTTTTTATTATTTGATTTCTTTGTTAGGGTAGAGCACTAGGAAGAGTGTGTTCTTTCAAAACAGAAGAAAAAGAATTAAAAAGCCCAAACAGACTCCATTCTCTATGGGCCCTTATCTCTATTTATCATCCATAACACAAGATGTGCTGGATGTTTGAAGTTGATAATGGCTGGTTTATTGCGTTCATTTTCAGTTTAATGTCTGAAAACCTTCTTCTAAGAATTTGCTTTTAAAATTTTAATTTCAACTTAAGACATCCGTGTGGTTCATGCAGTGGAAAAAAGAGAGAAGATGCACCGATGCTGGGGGAGATCGAGCCCCTCGAAAGCGTCGGAGAGGTTTTAGCATTCCTGTGAAGTGGGAGCAGATAAGACTGCGGTGGCAGCAGATGACCCAGCACCACCAAGACTTGTCAGCTCCTCGTGATGCGCGGGGTGATGGAGAGGACGTGGTGAAATACATCCTCCATGAATCACATCCTCCCCTCTGAAGATGGGTGGGAGCAGCGAAACGGGCCGTGTCCTTTCAGCAGGTCCAGGACCCGCTCCAAGCAGGGCAGCGGGACATTAGGAGGTTTCTAGGGAGATGTCAGGGCCTTGCAGGGAGCAGGGAATGGAGAGATGATTTTGCCAGGTATAATTACTTTCCATGTGTTTTTCACGTGAAGATGCAGAACTTATACGGCTGTTTATTGGGAATTTATTGCCTGACTTTCGAAGTTTGAAGAAATTGTGTTTGAAGTGCTAATGATTTCTTTTTATGCAAAACATAAATTAAGTTTCTGTGTTTTCTAAATTGTAAATGTATTTTAATTAGCAAAAACATGGTCTTCATTCAAATAAGGAATTAAGCAGTTTTCTAAAAGCAGCTTTCTTTTTCAATTCACTTTTTTTAACCTTCTCTCTCCTTTTTTTACTTACATTCACAAGTTTAAGTTATATTAAAAAAAAAACCCCACACCTAAACTCACAAATGCATGTTGCTCTTTCTTCTGTGGTGGTGGTGAGGTCCTCCCCACACTCCCCTTTTATCCTATGTCACCCTGACAACACGGGTTGCTGCTTTTAAGGGGAAATTCCAAGCCCTGCTCTCTGCCAGGTAAGTGGGGATAGTTGCTTTAAGCTGTACAGTCACTTACCATTTTTTTTCCCTTCCCCTGCAAGATTCAGAGTGGGCTGTGGGAGGTAGGAGGAGGGTGGGAGAAGGTGGTTGTGTGTTCCCAAAGCGCTGGGATTTTACCTCGGTGGGGTCCAACATGCTGTCGCTGGGTTTTTTAAGGGTTCAATACAAGAAACTTACTGCAACTCAGTTCTCACTCACAGCGTTTGCAGCGAGGGGGCAGCTGAAAGCGCAGGGCAGGAGCCTCGTGCCACGGCCCTTGGTGAAGGGTGCCTGTTCTGACCCTCCCCTTGCCCCGGGCTCTCTGCCGCAGCCTGAGCTTGGCCGCTTGGCCACGCTGGGGATATCTCCGCAGCTTCTGCCGCGGCCGCGGAGGGGCTACACCTTGGGCACCTCCTTGTTTTCATCTTCACCCTTTTCCTCTCCATTGCTTCCTTCCATTTGATTGCTCTGCAAGACTGGGGGGTATTTTTTTAAGCTTGACTAAATTCATTCACAGTCTTAGATCCTGCCGATCGTGTGCAGAATTTAACTTGTGCTCGTAGAGTGACTTTCAGCGTAAAAGAATTGGGTTGTTTTTTTTCTTCCTCTGTTTCTGCCAGTATTGGCCCCTCACCTGTGGATCTCGGCAAGACGTTTGATATTTAATGTTCTTAGCAGTGAGCTATTAACAATCAAACTCTATTCATGTTATTGAACCAACTGTTATTGCTAAAAGTAGCTGTCGGAGCCGAGCTCGAGGGAGAGGCGCATCCGCGCGGCTGGGTCACGGCGCTGTGAATCACCGCGGCAGATGGCAGCTTAAAGCAGCAGCTCGGAGTTGAACAATTTTCTAAATAACTGCGATCTCTGGTGGAAAAATTACTTATTTTTCCAAAACTGCTGAACTCATTTTCTGTAGTGAAATCTGCCAGGATGTGGTTTCCTGTTATAGAGTAATGAAAGTTATTGCAGAAGAAAATAAAATATGTTTAATTCTGTTGGATGCAAAGCAGTATGTATAAATGCAGATTTTTCCCTAAGCCATGTGCAGTCAACAGTTAGCTGTTTTCTAACACATTGACTTTCGCGTCTTTTTTTTTTTTTAGTCATTAACACCTGGATATGTGCAGGGAACATTTGAAATGGCAAATAAGGAAGAAAACAGGGAGAAAAACAGATATCCTAACATCCTGCCATGTAAGACATTACCTTTTCTTTTAAGTCGGACAATTAACTCTGGCACTGAGCGTGCTGGTAGTAGTCTTCCTTTGCTGAAAATATCCCAATAGTATAATTTCACTCATCGCAAATGTTCTTCATACGTTGTATGTGCAAAACCTGTCTTATTTTGTGGCACGTTTCTAGTATTGATCTTCTCCTGTTGGGTTTTTCTGTGGCAGTTTATCAGGTGCTGCGCTATAAAGCCTTACCTCTCACAGGGTTCTACCAAATTACGCTACATCAAGTGGATATTTTAGTGTCTCGGGTTAGTTTTGGGCAACCAAATATGGTGAAGTTTGGTCTTCCAGTATTGTAGAACTGCAGTGACGGTGACCTTCAGGTGTGGGAGCAAAGCAAGGCGTTTGTGGAGAAAGTTTCTTGATGAGAACTAGGAGCAATATGGGAGACTGCTGGTTTGAGAAGCGTGTGCTTAGCCTGGCCTCCTGCTTGCAAGAGCGTAACATATATCAGGTTGATTCATGTGCAAACGTGCTTGTAATGTGTTTTCTTCCAGATGATCACTCCAGAGTGATTTTGACCCAAATCGATGGAGTCCCACCTTCAGACTACATTAATGCATCATATATAGATGTAAGTTGACAGTCTTCCACTGTTGGCCAAACTATGAACTTTGACTGTGAATTAAATAAGTATTTTTCTGCTAGCATACATCGGCAT